GCTCAGCTCCCTTTTTCTTTCGTTTTTAGGCAGGCTTCCCAACTAGCCTGGTCTAATCGAAAAATTAGCGAGTCAGGAAACGGGTGAATATGTCGAACTCAACGAGCTAGAGCGCATGCTACTGGACTGTTAGCGGGGGAGGAACCGAAATAACTCCTCTAACTTGTTCTGGAAAGACTTGTCACAGCCCCTTTAAAAATCAAATTCGGAATATCGACAGCCAAAATGCCGACATATTCTTGACGCTAGCTTGAATAAAACTTCCTGATAAACAGCTCTTTTGACTGTCGGTATCTGGCTGTCGAGATTCTGGTTGTCGTGATTTTCGCTGTCGGGATTTCGGCTTTCGGAATTCTGGCTGTCTGGATTTCGGCTGTTTTGGCTGTCGGGATTTTCCTGTCGGTATTCTGGATGTGGGAATTTTGGTTGTCGGGATTTCGGTGGTCGGGGTATATCTGTCGGCATGTCAGGATTTTGGCTGTCGTGATCATGGCATTGCGGACTGGGGATGTCGGCGATTTTGTCGGGATTTTGGCTGTCGGTATTATGGCTGTCGATATTATACTTGTCGGGATTCCGGCGATGACGATTTTGGTTATCGGGATTTTTCCTGTCGGTATTTTTGCGTTTTTCCTTAAAACACGCTGTTTTTTTGGGTGCGGATAACTTCTCCTCGCTTTGGCTCTCGGCAATGCTTCTCGCTATTCCATTTGGGCCCTAAAAAGGGCGGGATTGTGGGGGTGGGGGGGGGGGGGCGGGGATACTTGTGATGGAAGGAGTGTTTGCGGCTGCCTCTCTTGGCCCACTTCAGATCAGATTATGATGGCGGAGGGAATCTCCGGCCGATTTCCCCCCACCTCACCCCCCAGAATTATTACCACTATTTTTCGATCTACTACTTCACACACGATTTTATTTCTCTATATTTTTTATTTTTTTCCGCGTAAAAGGACGGCTTTTTGAGATTTGGGTATCACATTATCGGCGGGGGGGGGGAGGGGGGGACCAAATGGTTTCCTAAGGATCTAATTTTTCTAATCGAACCCTAAGCAGTTGTTGCATTGTTTTTTTGTCAGCCCCAAATGTAAAATGGCAAATTGTGGTTAAAACATATAAAAAAACGATTTCTCAACCAGATTCTCGAACTTTTAACAAGATTTAATTTTTTTAGATTGTTTTCACTTAAATTGAGGAAATTTTACTAAAAATACTATCAAAATACTTACTATTACCTTACTGGTCTCCTTCGTTCAACCCGCCTCCCCCGATAATGGAAAAGAACCAAAATTAACGTTTAAAAGAGCGTGTTTTAGTTTATCCTTCATTTTCCACCACGTTCCTCACTATTTACACTCATCGAAGAGAACGCCTCAGTTCGAGTACCAGGTTGTCTCGTTGTACCCTCGAAGAAATACCCGAAAATCCTATCCTATAAGCGAGAAAAGTATGTTTGTTTTCTGTTCAGCCGATTTCTCGGCCGCCAGGCCGAATTTCCCGCTGATTTTTGGCATGTAGGTGGAGAAACAGATTTGTCAGTGAAGCAATTTTTTGTTTCTCGAAATTCCTTCATATAACGATTTTACAAGGAAAATAGTGAAAAATCCTTAACATTTTGGCCGAACAAAGGTTTGTTCAGAAGATATCTCGATTACCAGACCGAATCGGGCTCTAATTTTTGGAGGGTAGATTGAAAATCGAATTCTCCCGATATATAATTTTGCGTTTTGTCTGTTTTTGTAAAATAGATTTTTCATGAGCATTTTTCTAAAAAGTTCTTAACAAAATCGGCCAAGAGCCGTGGTGTTCGGGCCATAACTCGCAGCCCAGATGGAATTTCGGTCTGTAATTTGGACCACTTATGTATTCGATGGTGGGGATCATGCGCATCTTATTATCTTTACAAATTTCAGCGGATTGAGACTCAAAAATGGAATTTTGTAAAGTGACCAGAAGGCCTCCCGCCCGGGGCCCGGTCCTTTCATTGCCTCCCCGCCCCTCCCCAGAACGGAAGAGGCCTTTCCCGCCCCCCGTCCCCATGTGCCTCTTGGTGTATGGGGTTAGCTCCCGGGCTACCGCGCGAAAGGACATAGGTTCGGATCCTGGGCGAATTTGGCTTTTTGCTTTTTGGTAGTTTAGCAGCAAAACATCTTTCTATGCTCTCGCTATGCGAGGTTTAGGCCTGACCCTCGATCTAGCGCCGCAGGCCGAAGAAAATGTCCTTGAACCAGGCTCTTGCGCCGCAGGCTTAGGATGGGTCCTTGATCTAGACTCTTGCGCCGCAGGCCAGATCCTGGAGAACAACTAGGGTTGTTTCTCGGAACAGACCGAGATTCGGAACTTTCGGAACAAAGACTGGTCGGAACGTTCCGAGATTCGCGTGTTCCGGCTGTTCCGAGATTCGGAACATTCCGAGATTCAAATGTTGCGGTTGTTCCGAGATTCATAGTGTTCCGACTGTTCCGAGATTCGGAACGTTCCGAGATTTGGCTGTTCCGACTGTTCCGAGATTCGGAACAGTCCGAGATTCGGCTGTTCCGAGATTCAAATTTTTTCGCATGTAAATTTCGATTTCGTGTAAATTGTGTAGATTGCACGTAACTGTTTCGATTTTGCCGTGACACGGCAGTGTGGGCGCAACTGAACACTTAATTCCGTCGATGGTTAGATATTGAATCTGGAAATTAAGGAAATGAGAACGAATTGGGGATCGAATCGAATCGAAATTCAGTCGGGTTTGGAAATTTACATGCGAAAAAATTTGAATCTCGGAACAGCCGAATCTCGGACTGTTCCGAATCTCGGAACAGTCGGAACAGCCAAATCTCGGAACGTTCCGAATCTCGGAACAGGCGGAACAATATGAATCTCGGAACAACCGCAACATTTGAATCTCGGAATGATCCGAATCTCGGAACAGCCGGAACACGCGAATCTCGGAACGTTCCGACATTCGGAACAGTCGGAACGGTTGCTGTTCCGAATGTTCCGAATCTCGGCCTGTTCCCGAGAAACAACCCTAAGAACAACCAGTAACTAGCGCCGCAGGCCAAAAGTTTCTAGCGCGAGGTTTAGGCCTGGCTCTGGCTCTAGCGCCGCAGGCTAAAGAAAGGGTCCTTGACCAACGTACTTGCGCCGCAGGCTAAAAAAAGGAAGGTGTTCAGATTCATGGTCCTGGACGGGGTCCAGTGGAAAAGGGCCGCGAAGCGGTTTTTTTCCACTGGTCCACCTGATAGTTCTGGTTCTTTCGCATTATCGGGGGGGGGGGGTGGACCAATTTTTGCTTAGAATCGACGTTTTCTAATATATTTTGGAGATTTATTTTTAACATGGCTTTCCTAAGCTCAACTATTCCTAAGCGTATAAAATTTAGCAATTCTTATTAAAAAATATAAAAAGGTAATTTTTTAAAATGTTTCCAGCTTTTAGATAGTTTTTCACCTGAAATGGTGCTAAATTTGATTAAAAACACTTTTAAAATGGCTATGGTTATGTTATCTAGATTTCTAGGCTTATAACTGAATAGAAAATGCGAAAGAAAAATGCTATTTATTTTTTTTTTTACGTTATGATCGGCGTCATCGACGCCGCTCGGCCGCCGGCCACCCATTAATTAACCGCGCATGATTCAGCTGTCCACCCCGGGAAATGCAACCGAAAGCCGCAGAAAAATATAGGAATACCCGGACAAGACGACGATAATTAGACGACATAAATATGAGCATTGTGTATTCCGAGGCCATGTCTCCATTGGCAACTCTTTCAGGAGGGCCACTTTTTGCAAAAAAGGTCCTTTTTGGGGGGTGGGTGTTGGCCCTTGCCGTGTACGCGTCCAGAAAAAATGGCTTTTGGCAGGCCGGCTAGCCCTTTTCGACGCGCATATATGCCTTTTTGGGGAGCATGGTGAATTCTTTGGCCGGAGCGTCGCGTTCTCCCCTTTCCCGTGGAAGCTTGAAGCTTGAAGCTATGATAAATTGGGTGATGGCTATGTGGGCTGGGGGCCGGAACAAGTGCCCCGCGCGAATTATGCGTTCCCCCTTTTTCGAAATCCATTCTTCGTACTCGGCATTCGTTTCCGGTGTTTTGGGGGCTTGATAGTAGAGCAAAATCGTCGTTTTGATAGGTTTTTAGGTTCTTTTGCATTATCCGGGGTTGTATCGGAAAGTTTCGCATTATCTAATTTTCTTCTTTAATGCCGAATTTTTCTAATATAAATAGAGGAATTGTTTCTAAACTTTTTTACTACCAGTAAACGTAAAAAAGTTCTATTAAATTTATTAAAAAATAAAAAAACTATCTATTTGAGGCCAAAATCTTCAATTTTAATTTTTAGGGAGTTTTCCCGTTGAAAAACCCTCCGCGCCCCCGATAATGGGAAGGTACCGCTTTTTAATTTCCAGTTTTTGTAATACATTTTTGTCCGGTTCCGTGACTTCCGATTTTTTCCTAGGAGCCCTTTTTTTTCTAGGGTAGTGTTTTCCTATAGGTCCAGAAATCCCTAGCTACGTAAAATTAAGGATTGTAAAAGTGTTTTTAATAAGATGTAAGTATATTCCAGGTGGAAAGATGTCTAAAAATGCCAGAAAATTCGAAATCTTGGTCCAAATCGGCCATTTTTGGTCAAAAATTTTTATTTTTTTTGTTGTATTTGTAAATAAAAACTTTTGAAGTTCTTAAATTAGGAATTTCCTGTGTACAAAATAGTGGAGATAATTTAAAAACACTTCCTCTATTTATATATGAAAAATTGGAGCCTAAAGAATTTGTTGTTGTGTTGATTTCCACCCGATAGACTTATCTTTTTAATTGATTTTCAGGTTTATTCCTTATTCGTCATACTTATTGTGAATTTCACAAATTTGTTGACTTTTTATTTATTTTATTTCATTTTTATTTATTTTTATTACTTTCTAACGTCAAAATTCCACCAATCAACCCGGCGCAATTCTAGAAAGCAATGGTGCCGCAATAGGATGCCCTGAAACGACACGCCGATCCCCCCAATGATGTGGATATTCTATGGCTTGCTAGGGGCCACCGCCGCATTTTCCCAACGGGTCAGTCAGAGTGGCTTTTCCGCTCTTTTGTCTTGCTCGTTTGCCCCAGTCACGCAATCCGGATAGATACTCGCCCTTTTTGGTTTAGCTATTCACGGCAGGGATTGACAATTTTCTGGTACAAGTACAATAACGGGGGGGGGGGTAAAATCACGAGGGGACGTTTATGGACATTAAAAAAAATTCTTAAAATAGTTTTTAGCCTGGACAAAAATCTGTTAAAATATTTTTTTAGCCATACGTCAATGTTTTTCATTACTTGGGACGCTGACGATTTTCTGGGACAAGTACAATAACGGGGGGATAAAATAACGGGGAATTCATTTGCAGTGCAAGAAAATTAGTTTTAAATATAGTTTTTAGCCTGGAATACGGCTCTTAATAAATTTTTTTTTCGGCCTTTTATCGAATGGCAGTTTCGAAATATCGAAAATCTAGAAAATATCGAAATTCCCCCCCCCCCGTTATGCTATCTGTACCGATTGGTTTTAGGATGGAATCGGTGATGTTCCGGTTGATGTGGAGACAAGGTTGGGGAAGATCCGAGGCCGAGAGGGAACTTTTGAGATGAAAGATGGTTCTTTGCCCAAGGTCCGCACGTTTCTCAGGTAATTATTTCGTTTTCTACGCCGTAGATTCCGGCCTTTTAGTGTGCCATTCGCCGAGCCGCCCACCGGCAATTTGCGCTTCCGGCCGCCCGTCCCAAAAAAGCCGTGGCGAGAAGCGGTTGAAGCCATTGAACCACCGCCAGCATGTTATCAGGTTAGGCTGGCTGATTTTGGGACCTTTTGCATTATCGGGGGCGGGGGGGGGGTAGTAGAAAAATTTTTGGCGATATATTTTAGCCATTTTCTAAAGTTGGATCTTTCGCATTTACGGGGGGGTCTAGCACATCTTTTCTAGAAGTCGAGAAATCTTTACTAGTGGAATAGTAAAGATTTTAATCGCGTTTTTAGGAAAATTTAACTAGATTTAACGAGCAAAACACAGAAAAATTTAGAAGGGCGATTTTTATTCGAAATTTTTGGATGTTGCAATCAAAAAAACTGATAAAATTAGATTTTTATGAGCAAAAATTGACCTTAAGGAAAAAGTTACGCACCCACCCCGATAATGGAAAAGCTCCAGACCTTATTTTCATATTTTTTTCAGGGCCGCGACAACTACAACACGTCATTTTGGGGCTCCGAAATGTGGAATCACAACACCCCGGCGAAGGAGGATTGCCTTTACCTGAATATCTGGGCCCCAGCTGATGCTCGGTAAGCAGCTGGTTCTTGTCGTTTAACGGGGGTGGATTCCGCAAATTTCAGATTTTTTAGACATTTTCAACAGTCAAATTTTACTAAAAATGCACAATATTTTATTGGCATGTAGAAAAAATTGGATCCCCCGTTAAATACCAAACCAACCGTTTATAAAACCAACCGTTTTATATTTTTTTTGATTTTTTTAGGAATCTTACTGTAATGGTGTGGTTATTTGGAGGTGGCTATTACTCGGGCAGCGCCTCTTTAATACTCTACGACGGCCGGGTAAGTATTCTCGGTATCAACCTCATTCCTTCGATTTTAGGCCCTGGCGGTGACGGGCAACGTGGTGGTGGTCAACATCAACTATCGAGTCGGCCCGTTCGGCTATCTGTTCTTTGACCACACCGATGCCCCCGGAAATATGGGAATGCTCGATCAGGTGAGAAGCCTCAAATTCCCGGAGCTAATGCATAGCGGGGGGGCAGTTTTTATAATAGAGAGAGGCAGTGTTTCTACACATTTTTATGCATTCCTAAACCAAGAAATGTACCAAATTTTATTAAAAAAACAAAAATAAAGTTTTTTTACCAAAATTCTATTTTTTTGGAAATTTTTTCGATAAACTTTTGCTAAAAAGCTATAAAAATAGTTGTTAAAGGGATGCCGACGGCATAGTCAATCGGTTACGCGCGGAAAAGAAAATGTCTCTGCGCCTCTCCTCTGGGCGCGCTCTCTCCCCTGTTGGCTAATTGCCAATTTGTTGATGAGGGGGATCGACACATGCCGTCGGCAGCCATTTAAATAACGAAAACTGTGAAAAAAATCTGCCCCATCCCCCGATAATGCAAAAGTACCAGGTTTTCTTGTATTTGTTAGTGTTGGCTGCTTGCCAAGCTAATTTTTGACCAATGATGGCCGATTCCAACTAAAATGCCGAAAGTTTTTAAAGTTTTTTTAGAGAGTTTTAAAACTTCACCCCCCCCCCCCCCCCGATAATGTAAAAGTACCTTTGTCAGAATCCGGTTTTTTAAGTCGATTTTATCTGACCAAAAAGCCCGCTTTTCATCAAAATTTAAATTGTCGACGTTTCTAAAACAATTTTCCACCAGAAAAGGCCCTCCCCCGATAACGCACAAGTACCCAATTTTTTTACAGCAACTAGCCCTGCAATGGATCCGGGACAACATCTTCTCATTTGGTGGCAACCCGGATCGGGTGACCCTTTTCGGGGAGAGTGCCGGCGCCTCGAGCATCGTCGCCCATCTCATCGCACCCGGGTCACAAAGGTACGCAAAATATTGACATCAATGATTGTTTGTGATTAGGCTATTCAAACACGGCATCCTCCAATCGGGCAGTTTGGACAACAAATGGAGCATGGACACCCCGCAGCGAGCACGCAGGAAAAGCGAAAAACTCGCCGAACTCGTCGGATGCAACCGGACTACGGTAGTTTACGCCATTTTTTTGAATTCGCGAAAACGGCGCTGAGAGCTTGAAAACTATTAAACGTCAACAAAAATAGGGTTCTTGTGTTTTAACGGGGGGAAGCTAATTTCCAACTTTTCGACAATTTCTGCCCGGGAATTGTAAACATTGTAAACAAAAAATTCAAATATTTTTAATTCTATTTATTTCGCCTTTTAAAAAGTGTACACACCCTCTGACCCCCCCGGGGAGAGAGGCCCCATCCCCCCCCCCCCCAGAGTCAAGTACCCAAAATATTCAACCATCGCAATACCGCCAATTTTCAGGATACCGCCACGATCCAATGCTTGCGTGATTCTGAGCCCCAGAAGCTGGTCGACGTGATGTGGAATGTCGATTTGACGTTTCTGGAATTCCCCTTCGTCATCGTTAGTCGGGATCGGCATTTCTTCCGTCATAAGGTAGACAGCTTTGCAAAACAGCCAGAATACCGACAGGGAAAATGCCGACAGCCAAAATGCCGACAACCATACTCCTGGAAGGGCAAAATCTCGATACCCAGAATACCGACAAGCAAAGCCCCGACAGCCAAAGTCTGATAGGCCGAAGGGCGGACAGCTACAATACCGACAGCAAGAATCCCGAAAGCCAGGATCCCTACTGGCCAAAATCCCGACATATTCTTGACGCCAGTTTCAGACAGCTAATTTGCTTGTCGGCATTTTGGCCTGTCGACATTTTGGCGTTTGGCCGTACGCGCCGAATCGATAAAAACCAAAACTAAATCCCGACAATGCCAAAAACTTTAGAAGAATAATTAAAGGAAAAATGCCGAACTCTGATACCAAAACTGAAATTCCATTTTTAGGATGGCTTCCAATCACTCCGTAAAGCCGATTTCACCAAGGGCGTCAACCTGATGTTCGGAATCAACCACGATGAGGGTGCGTTTTCGACAGAATGATCATCTACCAAATTCCAGGCAATTTTTGGAACATCTACAACCTGCCCGACTATTTCAACATTCAAATATTCACGACCATCACAATACCGGCAATTTTCAGGATACCGCGACGATACAATGCCTGCGTGATTCTGAGCCCCAGAAGCTGGTCGACGTGATGTGGAACGTCGATTTGACGTTTCTGGAATTCCCCTTCGTCATCGTTAGTCGGGATCGGCATTTCTTCCGTCATAAGGTTTGCAAAACAGCCAGAATACCGACACCAAAATACCGACAACCATAACCCCGGCAGGGCAAAATCTCGACACCAAAATACCGACAAGCAAAACCCCGACAGCCAAAGTCCGTTAGGCCGAAAGGCGGACAGCTAAAATACCGACAGTCGAAATCTCGACAGCCGAAATCCCGGCAACTATAATACCGACAGCAAGAATCCCGAAAGCCAGGATCCCTACTGGCCAAAATCCCGACATATTCTTGACGCCAGTTTCAGACAGCTAATTTGCTTGTCGGCATTTTGACCTGTCGACATTTTGGCGTTTGGCCGTACGCGCCGAATCGATAAAAACCAAAACTAAATCCCGACAATGCCAAAAACTTTAGAAGAATAATTAAAGGACAAATGCCGAACTCTGGTATCAAAACTGACATTCCATTTTTTAGGATGGGTTCCAATCACTCCGTAAAGCCGATTTCACCAAGAGCGTCAACCTGATGTTCGGCATCAACCACGATGAGGGTGCGCTTTCGAACGAATGATCATCTACCAAATTCCAGGCAATTTTTGGAACATCTACAACCTGCCCGACTATTTCAACGTGCCCATCCAGCCCGAATTGACCAGGGAGGAATTCTTTGACGTGAGCCACCTAGGGCTTTCACCGCAACTATCTCCCTTTAGTGTGTCGACAAGGCATTCGCCGTCCAGCCCGAAGTCATCCGGTATGCCACCAAGTTCGTCTACTCGGACCCGTACTGCAACGGGACCGGCAAGCGCAAATTCTACGCCGAGCAGGTGGGGGCGGTATTGATCTGTCAGCGGGGGGTCAGCCTATGCTAGTTAGAAAAATTTATTACGTTTTATTGCGGACGTTAACCATGCTTTTAGAATTTTTTGGTTCTGTTTCGTTAGCGATGGGTGAGGCGAGGCCCACCTGTTGAGCCCCCTCCCCCGCTAATGAACTAGAACCAAAACCCTTTCAAAGCAAGGTTAAAGTACGCTATAAAACGCTAGGAATCCTGAAATTACGGAAGAAAACATAAACAAGTTCCTAGAATTTTAGAAAATTCAAAACCGTTGCACTAGCAAGCAAAAATGAAATCTTTCGACATCTTAATAATTTTCGTGAATTTTATACACTTAAAAACAGCCTAAATCTCTATAAAATGACTTGTATTTCTTTTGGAAGCCTATAAATATAAAACGTCAATAAAACTCTATAAAATGATAGGTTTTTCATAGTTTTCATAGTTCACAAATTTCTAGGTATAAAAAGATCCCAAAAACACGAAAAAATAAAGAATAATATACTACAAGATGCTATCCGCTACATAGGTATCAGATACCCCACCCGTTAACGGTAAAGGCCGGATCGGGCCCCTCATCCCCTCTTAAGAGTAAAGTACCGAAAATCCCACTTCCTTGATCAATTTCCCCCGTTCTAACAGGTGAATCAAATGGTCGGCGACTATTTCTTCACCTGCGACTCCATCTGGCTTGCCGATAAAGTGGCCGCCGATCCCACAAATAACGCCCAAGTCTACATCTACTACTTTGACCAGCATAGCAGGTGAGATTTTGCACCTGACCCCCTGCAACCCTCTGGCCAATTACAGCGCGAATCCGTGGCCCGAATGGACGGGGGTGATGCATGGCTACGAGATCGAATACGTCTTCGGCGTGCCGTTGTACAATAAAACGGCCGGATACACGAGAAGAGAAGAGATATTCTCGCGAAAAGTGATAGACTACTGGACAACGTTTGCTACGACTGGGTTTGTAACTTGTAAAAACGTTTTGGTTTACAAGGAGAATTTTTAGTGACACAAGTTTTGACAGCGGCAAATTCAAAATGTAGAAAATCATAATATCGAAATTGTCTAGTGTCGAAATTTCATAATATCGAAATTTACAAAAGTCAATCCCCCGGCAAAATTCCAAATCCTTTCCAAAAAATGTCGACATCCACAATTTCGATATTCTGAAATCTAGACATTCCGAAATTTCGGCATTACGAATTTCTACCTTATGAAATGTCGACATTATGTAAATTCTACATCATGATTTTCGACACATTATGAATTTCGACATTCTGAATTTTTGAAATTCTGAAATTCGGTATTATGAAACTTCTAAATTATGATTTTCGACGTTCTCGGGTGCAGAATTTTGCACTTATTCTGAATCTGTTTTCAAAACCAGCGAAACAACTATATAACAAATTTATAAAGATTTTTAGCGCTAAACAAGCAAAAAAAAATCGTCGAAATTTGGCTTTTTTTGGCATTTAAAAGCGGCATAACTTTTTCATACGCTCGTTTTGCCGACTTTGAAAGCAGATTCGAAATCAGCGCAAAATTCTGCACAAAATAGACCTGGAAAATAGATTCTGTCACTAAAGAACAACACCTTAATAGCCGGGAAACCTCATTGATTTCAGCGTCCCTTCCGTGCACGGCAGCAAAAATCATGCCATCTGGCCGAAATACGATCAGACAAGCAAGAGTTGGATGAACCTGAAGGTATAAAATATCGAGATACAAGAAAGCTTGGTGCTTTTGCATTATCGGGGGATGCAAAAATCACTAAAGCGGAGAAATACCCCCAAAAGTTACTAAACAAAACGTTTCCAAGTTTTTAATTTTACGATTAAAGACAAAGTAAGTAAATTTTCTCATAGATAGTGGAAGCGTATCTACACTGCTTTTACTATCATTTTAAACTTACAAATTCTTATTGAAAATACAAAAATATCCATTTTTACCCAAAAATTGGAAGTTTCTAAATTTTCAAAGTTTGATATAACTACTAGTAGGTCAAATATAACCAAATTTATTAAAAACACTTGAAATTACGTTACCAGAACTATATAGACTTTTGGACCGCCGATAAGGCACAAGAACCAAAAAAAAACAACGAAATTTAGGCCGGTTCTAACCTATTTGCAATGCACGCCAAGAAGAGCGTCGAATGTGATTTGTGGCGCCATTCCAAGGATCTCGAATTTAATAATTACGGTAAGGAATTTGAGGCCAAACATTTCTTATTATTTTATTTCCTTTAGTCCACGTCGTCTCTTCGACACGAGAATACACCATCTCTACCATTACCATCCTCATCATTGGAGCCCTTCTCTTCTAAAAAAACCACCTCCAGGGCCCGGTAGCCAACTATTTAATTCTGTTAGCAGTTCGTCAATTAGATTGTCAGTTTCCTTGCCAATTTCTGTCTTTCCCACCCTTTTCATGTTATCCAGGATCCTAGTAAATAACGATTAGCTGCATTTGGGGATTCCCCCCCTTATTTTGATAATTAGTACACTGCTAGATTGTATCGCCAAGCCTCTCATTGCCAGTTCTCAACATACAACGAAACCGTCTATGTACGGCATTCCGCCCATCATATCCCCCCAGAACACCCCCATAATAAGAATACTTTAATTTCCACCCCGTCAGCCTCAGCAACAAACGTTTTCTCACTTATATCGTTTATATACTTAATACTTAATAAATTCTTCGACGATTTTTGTCTACAATGGAAACGCATTAAATTGACCCTCGAAATGTACACATCACAAACAGAGGTGCTTTCGCCTTATCAGCGTGAACCAATTTTTTTTAAGTCCCGAAATGCCTAGTAGCGTAATAGTAAGTTGCTTGCTAACATTTTACTATTGTTCACGCGAAAACAAAACTTAAATAACTCTACATTTTTGAAAAACCCCATCCAAAACATCGCAAAATCTGTGCTCTTTGAATTGCTAAATGAAAATTTCTACAGTTTTGACAAAGTAACAAAAACACGAAATTCCATACAAATCCAAGTTTTTTTAAAATTATTCCAAAACGAATTCCGTTCGGCAACAGTTTACACTAATATGGGTGATCGTAGCCGTTCGGAGCCTGCCACATTATTTTTTCAAAGTTTTATTTAATTCTTTCTTTTTAATTGCTTTATTTTTAGCATGGCTAAAGTCAAGACGAGAAGACACCTTCGGGAAAAGTCGAGTTCATCTGACGATGAACAAAGCCCGCGCCGTCGCCGCAAGGAAACAAGGGTTAGCGCTATTTTTTGGTTTATAAATTCGTCAATTTAGCCAAAGACTGGAAAGCGAAGCAACAAAGCAGTCGTACTGACGCCGGAGTTCGGTATTTCAATGATCCTGAACCAATCAGCTGTTCAGATAAGCTTTTGGAACCTCGTCCTCAGCCCGTGTCTGTCTCGCAGCAGACGCAACAGGAGAAAATGGAGCGGATGGTGGGTTTTTCAGCTTTTCTAGGCAATTAGCCCTTACCGAATGGCTCGTACGCTTGTTGTGATGTACTATTTAGAAGTTTTTAAGTGATAAAACGGTTATTTTGATCTAGAAAATAGACTTTTGCCGTAAAAGTTCTACAGATATGTACTACTACATAGCCGAATTTTCTGAATATCTTTCTATATGTATAATAGCTATTTTAACCTTTCCACGATTCTCGTATATTTATTTGTTCTTTTAGATTAAGTTGACGATTGAACAAGCAGAGGGATTGTTGGATCAAGAATCTCAATCGCAGCGTCCGCCCACTCAGCAAAACTCCCTACAATCAAACGATTCTCAAGGTGTTTAGGGCTTTACACTAAAAACCCTATTTAGCGTTCGAATGGGATCCAGCGACGCTGCAAGGAGACCTGCGCCAAAGTGGGTTTGCTCTCCACCCTCACCGCGCTCTCTCGCCGGCACACGTGCGGGACATAGCCCATCCCCGCACAGCTCCCCCCGGCGGTCCCGTGGTGTAGCGGTTAGCACTCAGGACTCTGAATCCTGCGACGGGAGTTCAAATCTCCCCGGGACCTGAACCCTTTTGCTTTTGCTTAAAAATTGGGTGGCATGTTTGGACGCTTCCATAGTTTTGTTTGCTAGTTTACATTTTGGAAAGATAGGTCCTAAAGTTTCTAAAAGGCTCGAATTTCGCTGAGTTTGAGATGTCTATAACATTTTGGTTTTTGTAAAAACCGAGTAGAGGGTAGAAGTTTCCTGAGTTTTACTTGCTAGTGTAACTTTTAGAGCAGAAAAGAAAGGAGCCCTCGAAAACCCAGAAATTGCGCTGACTTTCTCTGAAACACTCTCTGATTTCGGATACAAAAAGCCCAGGATTGGCGCAATAGCGCTAGATTACTCATACCAGCTTATTGGAAGGTGATCTTTGATGCCCATAAATCAGCAATCCTATGATTTTTTGAAAATTGGTGTTTTGCTCTTTTATAAGAATATTTTTTTTCAGAGTTCACCAAACTCTTCCTCGATACTCAACGGAAGCCCGGCAATTGAATAACCGTGAACCACAACGAGTCGATCGCACCTTACCTATTTTTATTTTGTCAAATCTGTAGCTTGTTTACTGTGAAATAACTGTTAATAAACGTTCTAACATCACGGGTCCAGTCGGCAACTGACTGCGTATGCAATGCGCGCAGATATCTCTCCTCCTTTCCCCACACACACTGGCGGCAATTCGAGAGCCCCCTTTGCCTTCGCTAACCGTTTTTTGTTAGAGGCATCCTGCTTGCTCTACGATGGCCGACGACCCCAATGCCACCCAAATCTTCATCGCCGAGGAGCGCAAGCTGTTTGAGTGGGTTTTTAATTTATTTCCAGAAGTCCGGAGATTTAGGCGAATGTTTCCAACTCCACGGGTCCAAAATCGTCACAATATCTCGAGCTCGTCGATTCTTTCCACACCGCAGGCTCGCTTCAATACGTCTCAAGGCCAGATTGGTATGTCCATTTTTAAATCTATAAATTAATTTTTAGTGGACGCAGCGTCGACCCATGCAAAGCTTTTTGAAGCCACCGAGGAAAACAAGTGGCTCCGAAAGCAGCTGAAACAGGAAAAGGAAAATGTGGCCAGCTTCGAAAATGAATTGAAGGCGAGTCCTTATTTCATGGGAAACATGGTTTATTTAGGCAAAATCCGAGCGTTGCGAAGAACTCACTCAAGAAGTCGTTTCTCTGAAGAAAGAGGCAGGTCGCTCTCGCCGCAGCATAGAGACCCTGATGGATGACACAAAAACGCGCTCAGTATGTGCTGAATTTGCCATAGAAAAGTCTTTACAGGCCGACACTGGTGCGCAACTGTTGGCAGTGACGGCGGCAGCGAACAAGTTGTACAACTACCATATTCGTGTAAGTGGTTTGGTTTTCAGACAATAGAAACTAAAGGATTTAGCAAAGAGCGGAGCTAGAGGTCATGCAGAAGATATTGGCTCGTCACAGGCTATGGACACCTTTGTTGCGCTCAGAGGTAGTGTTCGTGGGATTGAAAGAATTTTCAGTCTAGATACGCGCGTCGTATAACGGTATGAAGATTACTGAGCTGACAGATGGTGGGATATTTCTGTTGACTTTTGTAAAAGATCCTAGAAATGATGGCCACCCACGCACAAGGATCTTCTTTGGACTATCAAGGCATCGATGAGGTGGAATTCGTGGAAGCGCCCGAGGAATCTCCGGCGGTATCGCTTCGTTTGATTTTCAAAATGTTATTTTCTAGAGTCCGGAAGTTGATGAGGATACTGCTGATTTAACAACTGGTTCCCGGTTTCGACAGAAAGGTAAACAAGCAACATTATTTTTATATCGTGTTTTTAGTGGTCAACGATACCATGCAACTCGCAAGAAAACGCTCGGGAAGGTGAGAGCTTCTCAAATTTTTTTTTACTTGCTTTCAGTGGCCCACACCGGATGCTGAGCCCCATTCTCTCGACCGGTACCCAGATGACGTCTGTGATCGAAGAAGAGCCAGCCGAAGAAACGCCTTCAATCTGCGACCAAACAATGAATTCCGTTGATTACGAGAACTACGAGAAGATCCAGAAACTTGAAGCCGAGAACTCGCAGATGCGACAACAGTTGTTCATCGCCAAGTATTTCCGCAAAATTTAACCCTACGTTAATTTATTTAGGAGCCACGCGAAAAATGCGCTGCTTTACCGGGAACAGAAAATGGACATCGAATCGAAATACAATTTCGTTAATAAAAAGCTTGAGGAGACGATGGTGGGCATTTCTGGCTGATGGTGATAAAAGCGTTTAGCGTGATCTTACTGCCCTCCGCAACGCGACGGCCCGAAATATGTTTGGATCGGAAGATGGAGTAAAGCACGTCGACCGAATGACCTCGATGCAGCAGCAGTATTTCGTTCTTTTATGCGCAAATTGTTTTTTTTAGGATTGACGACTTGCTGGAAACAACCAAGAAATTGAAAGCCCAGCTTGAAGAAAAGGTGTGGTGGTCCTTTTGTGATCAGCAATTATTATTCCAGTGAAAACAGCGCTGAAGAAGCCCATGGTCTGCTTGAAGATCAGCGCATGACGTGTGACTCGCTGAATGCTCAAATCGAAGAGCTGGAAGATCAGAAAAGAACCTTAGGTTTGGAAGGAGCCGTGAAATAATATGCATTTTACAGAGGAACAGGTAGCCGAGCTCCAACTTCGCTACAGGCAGTCGAGCAAGGAGGTCGATGTTTTGAAAAGCGACGTCTACCAGAAGTGCCGTCAGATTGAGGTACAGCGCTACTGACTATGGTTTATTTGTATTTAGGAGCTCGAAAAGGCCGCACGATCTAATCAAGCCGATCCAACGGATGCAGGTGATACGACACAGGTAATGAAAAGCTTTTTTATCACCGAATTTTCACCGCTTTGTAAAATTGCTGACAGTTTCTTTTGTTGGTTTTGGTTTTTGGGAAATCCTATATGAAAATGCATTCAGATGATACTAAAACCTTATTTATTAGATTTTCCACGTCCGCGCAAATCCGCTGGAGATGGCGCGCGAGGAGCTGCGCCAGAAAGATGATGAGGAAGAGCGGGAACGGAAGCGGAAACTGGTAGGAAAAGCTCTCCTTTGTTGACGTCTTTTACAGTCCGAGACGTCTTCGAGCGGTGACGTTGAATTTGGGTCCAAGAGAGCCAAAACCGAGATTGCGGGTAAGTTGTGTTTGGTTTATCATTATTCTCTTTTTCCAGCTTTGGAAGAACAGCTTCGAAAAGCCGAACAATCGAAGAATAAGGCCGTCGACATCCAGGTGGTCGCGATACTCCTGCTTTTCTATTTGTAATTCAGATGTCGATGGCTCGACGTTACCGCGAAGTGTCGACGGCGTTGACTGGGTATCAGATTAAGGTATTCGATACATTAGCTCTTTTAAAATATGTTTTTCAGATGAGAGATGATGCTTGCCATGTTGTTAGTTGTTTGGGGCAAGAGCCGGAAGACGCATTCACTTTCAAGGTGGGGATAGGGTTTTTGGATACAATAATATCGATTTTGCTTTTAGTTTGAGGACGGACAGTTGATGCTTTTGTCTCGCGAGGACGGATCTTCGGAAATCAGCTCACAGAAATGGAGGGACGAAATGGATCGGTAAGCATTTGCAATTTACAAAAGGTGAATTTGGATTTCCAAGATACAGCCATTATACAGCCGCAAGTTAATTGTATTTTTTTGCATTATAGGAAGGTCTGAATTCATAAAGTGGAAATTGCATGATTTCGGCATCAACTATAATAATTTTGCTGTGGTGTCCGTCCGTGTGAAGCCGAATTCAACTCGAAGGGGAAAGGAGCTAGAGCTTAGCTCTCTTCGGATTCGGATAGAGCGTGGTCAGAAACCCCCAAACTGATAAAAAAATTATAAAAAAGTTTTATTTTAAACTATTAAAATTAATTTTGAAAGTTTTTCCTTAGTAAAAGGGGTGAAGGCCCCTCTCCCGGGAGGCCACGCCCCCTTTCCCTTCGCCCCTCTTCCCCAGGCCCCTTCCCGCGCCCAGATAGCTTTTTTAAGTTACTTTAATACTTTTTAATACTTTTAATACTTTTTAATTATGTTAATTAATTATTTAAATCATCTAAAGCCATCAGGAAGGTATTTAGGTTGTGGTTGAAGGGGATTTCAGCCATGGGGGGTATCTGAAGCCATCAGGAAGGTATTTAGGTAGTTTTTGAAGGGGATTTCAGCCATGGGGGGTATCTGAAGCCATCAGGAAGGTATTTAGGTAGTTTTTGAAGGGGATTTCAGCCATGGGGGGTATCTGAAGCCATCATGAAGGTATTTAGGTAGTTTTTGAAGGGGATTTCAGCCATGGGGGGTATCTGAAGCCATCGGGAAGGTATTTAGGTAGTTTTTGAAGGGGATTTCAGCCATGGGGGGTATCTGAAGCCATCAGGAAGGTATTTAGGTAGTTTTTGAAGGGGATTTCAGCCATGGGGGGTATCTGAAGCCATCGGGAAGGTATTTAGGTAGTTTTTGAAGGGGATTTCAGCCATGGGGGGTATCTGAAGCCATCAGGAAGGTATTTAGGTAGTTTTTGAAGGGGATTTCAGCCATGGGGGGTATCTGAAGCCATCGGGAAGGTATTTAGGTAGTTTTTGAAGGGGATGTCAGCCATGGGGGGTATCTGAAGCCATCAGGAAGGTATGGAAGTAGTTAGTAGAAGTAGGTGGATAGGTAGGTATAGTACATGAAGGGTAACCCGAAGGCCAGATGGTTACAGTCGCGAAGCGACTGGAACCATCTGGTTTTTGAAAAATTTGGGGGACTTTCAGGCAGATCAGGATAAAGTCCTACGGTGAAATTTCGACATTTTTATAGAAAATCCATTTGTTTTTAGCTACATTGGCGAACTTCACAGCGTGCCCGCCTTCCTCTCACGCGTGACGATCACCCTAGCCGAAAACAACCCCGATGACCAGACCCTCTCCCAGCCCTCATTCTCCATCATCAGGGATTGAGCTGCACCACCATCCTCTCCCACCCATATCTTGTTCGCGTGTTACTTATTCGGCGACATAAATTATTCATTTCGAATTGAAACTATTCGTTAGCTTTTGTAGGGCGTCAATGCGGCAGAGTGCACCTAGAAATGGTTGGCCATTGTTTTGTATTTTTTTCTCCACCTCAACATCTCCTTCTATCCGAATCCGCGTCGGCAATTTAGCGGTCCGATGTGTGAAGGGGGCAAAGTGCTCGTTGTTGAAATAGATCTCGAACGTCGAATTGACATTCAGGACGGTCAGCGAGAATCTGGAGAATTTTTGTGGCGAATTTCCGGCATATTTTGACTCACATCCTCCAATTATCGATGGGCATTGTGCCCTTCTTTTCCGGCTCTCCCCAGGTTCCGTTCACTTTAGCGTTTCGCTCGATGACTCGCGCATCAAAGGAGATGGTAAGCTGAAGAGGTTCTTTTGCATTATCGGGGAATGGATAGTTTTATATAAGTTTAAAGATTATTTTCAGTACTCAGATTAAAAAGCGTTTTCTAAATAGTTTTCCGTTGGGATATAGTATTATTTACGAAAACTATTAAAACACTTTCTAATACTTCTATCAATGGAAAATGAAAAATTTACCCCCCCTCCCGATAATGCCAAAGCTCCGTTTTTTGGGCCTTCTTACCTGTAGCGGATAGTTCAAATCGTCGACTATAAGGCTGATGATGATTTGGTGACCTGAAAATGGTAAAACCTTTTTTAGCTTATAGACATACTTGTCGGAAATTGTGATCCCTTGGCGATGTGGGCATGGGAGTGGCTCGCTGATCCCAAGTAGATGATCGAGCCGCCAGTGGTCCTGTACGAGTAGCTGGACGGCATCGGCTGACTGCCGGACGACATGTAGAAGTTGGTGCGACCTAAATGGCACTGGAAATGGTATCCAAAACCTTCCAACCTCCGCCGGCCCCGCTGTAGTGCCGGCTGGCCACCTTGACCGTGCTTTTTGGAGCGCTAAATTTGATGGTAGTCACAATAGGTGAAAAGTGAAGCTTACCCACTGCCCGAAAATCTTGATGTCGATGCGCCTCGAGATCCCACTGATGCTTTTCTCTTACGACGCCGCCCTAAAATAAAGTAGAATTTTACTTCTGTATTTTACCTCCAGCCTCGCTCGTCTCTAGCAGCCCAGTGATGTTGGCTGAGGATTCCACTAAAAGCAAAAAGCTATATTCTGGCAAAAAATAGCGGTACAGGGCAGTTAACGGAGGGGGGGAGGGGGCAATTTGTCCCAGCAGGGTGCTACGGTACCTAAAATATACCCTTTTTATAGCAGTTGTCAAGGTTTTTAGATATGAAACACCCATAAAAAATCATAAATTTCTGTAACTTTGTGAAAAATGTTAATACGTAATTTGCATGAAAGAAATTCCGGTTTCCGATTAGCCATCACAATTCCGTTATTCTACCGATCCCCTGCCCAGAACTGGTGAGTATCTGCTCCTTTTCGATTTTCGGAGTATTCCAAAATCCGATTCCGATTCAGCCGCGAGCTTCTTATGGCTGGGACCCCAAAACCGCCAGAGCCGGCCCTTGCCCTCGGCGACAAGCTCCACGGCGGCCGCTTCATCGTTCGCAAGAAGCTGGGCGAGGGCTCGTGTGGATCTGTTTGGGCCGTCGACACCATCCCCGGGGCGGTGAGCAACTACAGGACCCCCTGAGAAAGGCCCCTGCTCAGGTCAAATACGCGATGAAGGTCGAGCCCTTCCAGAAGACCAAGGAGGAGGAGATTCTGCGCATGGAGGTGGAGATTTCGCGAAAATCTGAGCATATTGTGTTTTTCTCTAGTTGTACGTGCTGAAGAAGCTGCAGACGAGCAAACACGTGCCCCGCTTCGTGGCCAGCGGGGAGTCAGGCAAATTTCAGGTGGGGGATTATTCGGTTCTTTTGTAATATCGGGGGTCTATTTTTTCAAATACAAATATACTTCAAATATACTTATTTCTGCACTGTTTCTACTATTCCTAATCTTAAAATACATCCATTTTTATTTACAAAAACGAAAAATATAGATTTTTCAACCAAAACTGCCCGAATATCGACGGAATTCCAAATTTCTTAGGTTTTTTGGATGGTTTTTCCACTTTAACTATAACAAATTTCGCCCTCCCCACCCCCGATATTGCGAAAGTACCGAGTTGACTTGCAGCTTCATGGTGATGACGCTGCTGGGGAAGGATCTGGTGGATTGCCGGCGGAAGTGTCGTGGCAGAAAAGTGTCCGCCCAGACGACGCTCCGGCTTTCCCTGCAGGCTGTCCAGGTATCGTTATTATACGACGCAAAAATACTATGGCGCTTTCGCATTATCGGGAGACCAACTTTTTTTCTTTAGGTTCCATTTTTATTAAAATGAATCGAGGAAGCATTTTTACCGTATAATTTAGAAACGTAAATTCAGCTAAAAACCAAAAAAATATTTTTGGACGAAGAATGGCCGATTTCGAACCCAATTCAAAACTTTCGAATATTTTCTTCCTTAAATATATTTAAATCCAAACGCTGTTTTAGGCATTTCTAAGCCGATAAAAACTTCTCCCCCCGCTGCTGCAAAAGAACCTAAGTCTCCCTTCAGTCGCTCGAGGATATGCACCGGCTCGGCTTCATACACCGCGATGTGAAGCCGTGCAACTTTGCGCTTGGCCTGAAGAACAACGTAACAAACAATCGCTAAATCCGAGACGCCAAATCTACTTCTAGAAAATGCTGTACATCATCGACTTCGGGCTGTGCCGCCAGTTCATGCTCCCCGACAAGAACGGGAAGATGAAGCTGCGCGAGGCGAGGGCCAAGGTCTCATTCCGGGGCACCGTCCGCTACTGCTCGACGAACGTGCACGCCGGAAAGGAGCAGGGCCGTCACGATGATCTCTATGGACTCCTCTATTCGATGATTGAGACGGCGGTCGGTAGATGAACATATGGTCATTGGGCAATATTTGGAAATGGGCTGTTGACGGAGGGGTCGGGCTAAATTTTCTTTTAAAGTTTTTCAGTATTTTTGATTACTAAAATTTTTTAATTAGTTCAAAATTCATACTACAAAAAAATTAGTTTGCCCCTGCTAACAGCCCAGTATCCAACTTTTAGACTGGTACCCTGCCGTGGAAGGGAATGCCCAGGGTCGACTCGGCCAAGTGCAAGGAGAAAACCACCGACGCTGTACTGCTCAAGGTTGGCCATCAAGGCGATGGAATAAAAATTCCTAGGGCTGCCCTCCGGCGTTCACCGAATTCGCCGGCCTCCTCAAGAAGCTCACCTACCCCGACGCGCCGCCCTACGACAAAATCCGCGCCGCCATCGCCAAGAACATCAAGGAGCTTAACGTCAAAATGTGAGAGATGTTGCTGAACGTCTTGAGCAATTCTTTCTGCGCTAAAAGGTTTTGCGTTTGAAGAAGTCAAAACTGTGTGGAAATGGACAAAGTGGCAAATTTAACCAAGTAATTTCTAAATTTAACTTTCTATTTCTTTTTATTTCTATTTCTCTAATTTAACTAAATATAACCTTCTAAACGTTTCTGGAATCTTAAAAAATTGAAAACGGCCAAAATCATCATAAAAACGTACCACAAAACGCAAAAAGTGGTCATGGCTAATAAACCCCTCCCTCCCCCCGCTAACAGACCAGTACCAAAAATTTGTTGGCGTGTTTAGGACCGACCCGTACGACTGGGAGCGATTGACGAAAACCGAGCGACGCGCCAACAAAGAAAAGGAAATGTCGACGAAGGATGGACCCGAAAAGGACAAGGTATGCAATACCGGTGGTTACGATAACGCTGGGCATCTTTTAGGATGCGGACAACGACACGACAAAGGATCTGGCCGAGTCGGTGCTGTCACAGACCAGCGAGAGCATCAACAACGACGAGGAGGTGGTCGAGGACACGCTCGATCAGGCACCCGGTAGGGAAAAATTTGGTTCTTACGCGTTATCGGGGGGGGGGTGATCGGGGAAAACCAATTTCTTCTCGTGTTTTTAAAAATTGTTTTTTACTGTTCCTAAAGGCAAAAACTTACGAATTTCCTTTTTAATAATCCAAAAATCGATTTTTCCACCGGAAATCACGGGTTTTCGACCAAGCTTACGAGATTCAACTTTTTGTCCCCCCATAATGTTAAATTTCGGCATTATGAAATGTCGATATTAGAAGGTTTCGACGTTATAAAATTATGTCGATGCGGTCGCACTAATTGGCTGATTGACCCCGTTACAGAGCGCATGAAGACCGAGGATGGCGACAACCCGAAAAGCCACCAGTGATCTCGGCTGGGCCCCCCTCCTCTCCATTAACCTCGACTTAACTCTGCAAACATTCAGAATCGATTCTTTACAAACGCGTTGAACATTTTCTCTTTCACTCACAATTCTCGGGCCCGCTATATGGGTCGTTTTTCGTGTCTCATCCCCGGAATAAACAATGTTATGTACCGTATGCAGAGAGACAGAGAGCGAGAGAGAGAGGGAGAGAGAGCGAGATAGAGAGAGAGAGAGCGAGAGCGAGAACGAAAAAATACCTCTGGGTAACGGCTGCGCGACAATGTCAAGCCGGGTGGCGTTGGCAACGAAAGAGCTTTCCGCCATGGGATTTGAAAAATTGCCGCCTAGAAAAAATGATAATTCCGGTGCTTAATCAAATCCAACCATCAATCGTGATCAAACGAATCGCTTCAAAGTCGCCGTCGACGTGGATCGACAGAGTTTCGCCCTGAAAAAAATCCAGCCTTATCCTTTCCTGGATCTGGTTCTTTAGCGGGGGCGCTATGTTCCTTTATTCAGGCTAACCTAGGTTGTAATAAAATATCTACGAGTTTTATAGCGTCTTATGCGGTTTCCGATTACGATAAAGTCATAACAAACATTTTTAAAAATGAAAAATATGCCATTTTTGACCATTCCACAAATGTTTGACCAAAAATTGCGAAAATTTAAGATTTGATAGACTTTTTATATAAAGAAAGCTATAATGCTATCACAATACTTTCTATTTCATCATTCACTCCCCTATTTCCCCAAATTTAATTCCCAATCATTCCCCGTCGCAATAAATTTACCTCGTTAACCGCGTAGTCGCCCCGATCGAAAAGGCCAATCTCGCCGCCCTGGGAAAACACCTGCAATCCACCCTTGAAACAATTTCACCGCCCGGCAAAAACCTGCGCAAATGACCCGAGCACCCGAACACGAAAATCGTAGTCGCCGGACCGCTAAAAAAACAGGGTGGGCGCAGGTGAACAGTTTTACCTCATAAGGGTTCGCCACGCGCTCCACCAATGTTCGATTCTCGAGCTCAACCGTAACCTCGCTGTACCCGTCGGTTAGGCCCGTATCTGGAAATAGGAGTTATCTACCAGACAAGCTAGCAAACCCTTGACAAAGAATGAGCAGAGCTTGAAGAGGAGAGTCGAGCCTTCGGTGCCGTTTCTCAGCAACGACACGCAGATGCTGAACATTGGAAGATTTCGGGTGCTAGTTCGTTATCGGGGGGGGTTTCTACATTCTTCTAGTCGCCCTATGATGAAGCGGAAGCCATTTTGGTAGGAATTTGGCTTTTTTAGATACAAGACTCTGTAAAAAATTTCTTTGACTTTTCGCCCCCGCTAACGAACCAGAACCGAGAAAGCTACCTTTTTGCATTTTCACTAACATTCCCGGCAACATGGATAGTCTGGCCAACTCTCGGCGGAATCCGCAGCTGGTAATCGTAAGGGACGGGCTGAATTCCAGGTCTATGATTTCAGTAAACCACTATAAACTTACGTAAATTGTCTCCCCAACGAATGGCAGTTGGGAGCCGTTGCTCGGATTACGCTGTGAGCAGATCCAGAAGAACACTAGATTTGGATAAAACTTACTTTTTTTAAATCTTACCAGCGACCCCACCGGCTGCAATCAGAAGCACGCGAATGATCTGGCTAAAATAGGACGTGATTAGTACCTTTTGAGTTCCACTTACAATGCCGTATCTTTCCAGCGAAGCCTCTTCTTGCATTTCACGAGCTTTTCCGGCGTCTTTTCCGGTAAGCCTTTTGATCTTATCTGAATACATTGCGATTTTAGGGTACTAGCTCCTTAGCAGGGGTAGTCGGGGAGCAAACCATTTTTAGCTCTGCTAACGGGGCCCTATAACTTAATTCTAACCTTATTCCTAGCATTTTACGCTGTTTTGAGATCAAAAAGTGACCACTAAAACACTATAAAAATGGTTTTTGTTTCAATGCTGTGAGAAAAACCTGATTCAAATCAACCGGCGCCTTCTTGAAGTGATCGAAATTCTTCTGCGCGATCCCGTCATGTTCGCCCGCCGGTGATTGGGGCGGGGGAGATTCCGGGGAAATATCCGGCTCCGCCCCGACCTTGTACTTCTTCCCGTCGTCCGTCATCTAGCGCCCGTCCAGTGCCCCATTTTTACCCTAGACGGATGGCGGAGTCATGCGCCCGAAAATGGAAACCAGAAAAGTACAAATCCGAGGCCCATGGCCAAGAAAAAGCATAGACCGCATCAAAGTTTATGGAAACCCCTGTCAAGAAACGGCAGACAACGTGCCACTCAAAGTTATTACCCCGGCTAATAGGCGGCGAAAAGTGATCACCGCCCTTCGGTAGGGCAGGCGATTCCCAGGCCCGGGTTGTCATGGGAGCCGGAGCAAATAGTGTGCGTGTGCGATCCAACTTGTCCACTTTATTAATAGAGATCAACGTGACGAATACCCGTAGTTGAATCACAGAAAGAGCTTGGGAGTTTTGTCAGGCGACATCGGAAGGTTTCGCGTAGCCGTAGGGGACCTGAAAATCAAATATTTCCTGCTTAAAATTCGCTGTCTAGTAACGTAATCGTACATATAGTATTTTAATCGCCTTTTTAATAAGATCTAATTGTGGAATGAGAAAAACTAAAAAATTCGAAATTTCGGTCGCAAATTTTTTGTATCATTTAAGTTTTTGCGTTCATGAATAGTAACAGCTAACAGAAGCCCAACAGCCTGTTCCT